CTAGTCATATGAGTTACTGCAAAACCATGTCTCCAACAAGCTCTGTTATCCTGGACACAGTATCAGCTGAAAGATTTAAGACATATCAGTGCCTACATGCTGTTTACATACTCCTCAAGGAGCCTTTTTAGAAGTGTGTACACAGTATGTAACTTTTTTCCTCTGGGTCACAAGTACAAGATACGGTATTGCCCTGGCCTGTAATTTCAATGTAAAAGTCTGCATCATATCCATGATTTATTACCCATACACAATTTCTACTACTTTAAGTGTAATCTTTAGACAACAAAAGAGGAATATTTGAACCTAGCACAATTCTGTTAAGACCAAACATAAGCCTTTTCAGGTGGCCAATAACTGCATTTCTTAGCTTGCAGAGTGCAAGCTACTGAACATCTAATTATTAATTTAGCATGTGGATAAGAAATATCCATTAAAATACAGGACTTTTCATGCAGGCAAGCTAAAAACTGTGGAGATCCATTGTGAAGTCTGTTCAAAACCGTAGTTCAGTTTCTGGAACAGTTCTATTTTCATGGAGTGGAAACTACAATAACAAATCCAAGGTTCAGTACTTCTGTTCCTTTCTAGTCTGCCATAGCTCTTTTAGTTCAATGCCTCTCCAATTTCAATCACAATATCCTTCCAAAAGGAACATTCCTGTGCTTAGATTTTTTCATGCCATATCAATCCTTTACATACTAAAGCCTGAGTCACATGACAGAAATGAAAAAATGTTCTAAAGAACTGGAAATGGAAAAAAAAAAAGGAAAAAGATTCCATAGATTGCTTTTCAACAGAGCTATAGAATTTGCACATCGATTTTGTTGTGTCAGCCACTAATCTGTGCTTTTGTATTGTGATATTATTCTACAGTTGCCAGCACACACAGCAATACAATGCTTTAGCACCTCATCAACTGCATTAGAAAAGTAAGGGCATTTATAATTTAAAATGGACAGTAGATGACTAAGTCTTGGTATAATTTCGGATGTTTCACAGCAAATATTTTCAGTTGATACTCACCCTCCTTTCCCCTTCAATTTTCTTCTCAACATACAATTACCCATTGAACACAAGCATTTGATCCTTGAATGAAAAAGAAAACTAGCAATTCAGCACTCTGTAGACGCTTTCCTCAATCTGTGAAAAGTACTTGAAGCCCTAGTAACAGGGAAAATCACAAAATAGAAGGTCTTCTCTATTATAAGGCAACCAGGCAACTTCGTGCTCACCAGCAGTTGAAATACATGCTGCATGACAAGTTTGGAAGCATCATTTCTGGGAATTGGAGATTTTAAATATCAATAACTAAATGTAGTAAGTGTTTTTGGTGTTTCCAGATACTTTCCCTTTTCGAAAAAAGGAAAATATGGAGGATTAAAAACATCCACAGGTGGTATGACTTTTGTAAAAGAATTCAATTTCTAAGAGAATTCAACAGACTTCTGAAAGTGTTAAACAGAAAAGATTCAAACTTGTAGGACACTGGTAGCTCATAAGTAGAATCTACCAGAGTTTCCTCAAGTTGTAGTACCTGAATATCATATTATGTGCAATCAATCTTATGCAAGGTGTAACATAAACCACCCACCCACCTACCCCCCCACCCAAACTACAAAGAACACAGCACCCTTCCAAAGCTCACACTGTGCTAAGCAAGCACAGATATCTGTAAGGCAACAGCATTTGGCATTCAATTCTTAGCCTCTATTTCTACATTTCTTTCTCATTCCTTTCCCCTGCTGTCTTGGGATAAAGTCAATGAAGGTAAACATAAAGGTAAAAGAAATTAAAAGAAAAAGCAAGAACAAACTACCACTTAAGTTACTTCAGCAGTACATCTTGGCAACTCAAGATCTTTCTTAAGATCATGCCATTATCAACTACCTCAGATAAGCACCTTCTTTACCCTGGGCCTGCAGGAGGACATTGCAGATATGTACTGATGCCAGATGGTTTACAGCTCCTTTCAGGCAGCACATGCAGGTCACTGAAACTGCCTTCCAAAAAGACCTTAGAAAAATCTGGTGAACACTTAGTCCATGTGCTACTCTGTGTTTGCTGTGATGCTTCCTGAAGTCTTCTGTAAAGTCTTTCTTAATTTCCATAAAGACAGCTCCGTCCAACAACACAGACACTACTTCCTCCAAATAAAAGACAGCTCATACTGGGCTGGTAACTGAGGGTCTCCTATTCTCTGCATTGACACTGCCTTAAAAATGAATGGAGGGGAATCCATATCTCTAGCTACTATCCTTTGACTTCAGTTATAACAACTGTTCTGTAGTTCCAGGAATGCCCATCTGAGCAGCCTGGCCTGAGCCAGCATTCCTAGTACAGTAGCCAAAACCACAATATCTACAGATTATTCTCTCAACTGCCTGGAGGAACGTATCATCTTCCGGCAGAATGCAGAGGAATTAACGGTTTTGAAAACTCAGCATAGTAAAGAAGGAATCAAACACTAGCAAGCTAACAACATAGACTAGCAGGTTTCCGGGAAACAGCAGAGAACATTCTGGTCTCGTGCCCTGTAGTGCACTATGCTACCAAAACAAATCACTTAGTGACATAAAACATCAAATGAACACTGAAAACCATATTCTTTCTGCTTTTATGTTATTTCATGAAAGTAGGCTGTACACAGGTCTTCCATGTCATAGGAAGCATCAAACTACTGCCTCTCTGGGCACACTGCTACCTTTTCTGCAAATGCAGCATGCAAAAGCTTATCAGACAGGTTCAAGGTCAGAAAACACTGCTAGGATCATCTGGCCCAAACATTAACCTAGTACCAATGTGTTCAACATTCAACCATATCCCCAAGTACCACATGCCTTATTGAACACTTCTGGGTGATTTCACTGCTTCCCAGGGCAGCACATTCCAATGCTTGACCACCTTGTAAGTGAAGAAATTTTTCTTAATATCCAATCTAAACCTTCCCTGCTGCAACTTGAGACCCTTTTCTCTTGTCCTGTCACTTGCTACTTGGCAAAAGAGACTGACTGCACTACAGCTTCCTTTCAGGCAGGTGCAGAAAGCAATGTCTCCTCCGAGCCTCCTTTTCTCCAGGCTAAACAACCCCAACTCCCTCAGCTGCTCCTCAGAAGACCTGTGCTCCAGACCCTTCACCAGCTCAGTATAATGTTCTTCAGAAACAGAGAGATTGCCACCATGTGGATCTCCAGCCCCACTGGTTGTCAGTTATTCCGACAAAGTTAACTCCTGGTCCTACTGTAAACCAGGGCACCAAAATGCCATTCTGTAGTTCTCAAACATGCAAGATGTTTGCTATGCCCACTGCATTGCAGGTTTTAGCCCTAACTGGGATGGGGAAAGATTTGCTACAGAGATAAGTAGTGTAATCTGTTATATTTAGTGTTTCTAGAATCATACATAGAGAGGTTTCAGGCAAATAATGATCAAAATAAAATGTGAATGTGTGTGGGGGAAATGTGATGGTAATTGGGGAGGAAAGAAAAGCCACAATTTATTAAATTAGCAATAAACTTCAGAACTTATAAAGTTTAAATTTATCACACAGCATTCTGTCCAGATCATTTTAATCCACTACAAGAGTATATAACACCACTCTGTGTGGGAAGAATAAGGAGTCGCATCTCCAGACAATTTAAGGATGGATGCTTTAAATCCTAACCCTTGCTAGGAATGGATTCACAGCTCAGAGAGCTCTCGAGTCAGAACATACTGGTTTGTGCCTATTTTGGAAAATATTCTGCACTGCCAAAAGAGAAAGGTCAACCTCAAATACCATTAACTGCATGACAGTGTTACACAGCATGATCTCTCACTTGCCCATCACAAACCATCTTCTCTGTCTTTCAGGTGACCTGTACTTACTGAACAAATATTTAAGTACTTTTAACAAATCTAGGACTCGTGACTTAAACTGATCTTTACTGGTACTCACCCTACGGGAAGACTAAATGAGGAATGAAGGGAAGGGCTAGATCCTAAGTTGTTCCCTTGTGTGTTCTGCAGTGCCCTTATTTAGTAGCTTTCCATTCTGTGGCTGTTGATTTCATTTTCTGAAGAATTTTGTGCTCAGCAGTACACACCTAACTGTGCAGTGCCTGGCAGTGTGCCCAACCAGCTTGGCAGTGTCTACTGCTATTTATACTGGAGATATTCCACATCTCACAACAACTGTCTATGACCTTCTCCAGACAGGTATCATGACAGAGAACACTTACCCAATTCCCTCCCCTGGCAGTTGCTTTAGCACACAGACAATTGCATGGAAGCTCATCTCTGGGGACACACAGGAGCCTACTGCAGAATCACTCATTGCATAATATTCTATTAACATTTATTGTTATTTTCCAAAAATTATAGTGAAATTATTCTTAGAAGGACTCCTACCAATACATTCTGAACCAGCTGGTACAGGGAATCTAGATGCCAAATTTGCCCTTTTCATCACATGTTAAACTCATGAAAGAGGATCCAAAATTCAAAAATCATGTCCAACTTTGAAAAGTAATTTGATCCAAAAGACACAAATCAAAGCTTCCCAAAGGTTATATTGTATAAATACTGTGTTTTTTCAGCTGGAGGTGGTTTTGAGCTACTTTAATTTAATTAATTACCTTTCAGATAAATATATAATGCTAGACATATACAATGTCAAAACAGAACTGTATATTCCAAGTAATAGTTATCTTTTAAGGCTGTTAACTGCCAGTGAAAATTGTATTTCCAGAACATTACATTTGAGCTAGGCCAGATAGGCTCTTCATTTCCTATTTTTATTTTTTTAACTTGTTAATGCAACAGAATACTCCATGAAGAAGTATACAATAAAGAGAACATTCTTCTTCCCACCCTTCAAAATCAGACTGGCTGCAAAAAAAGAAAAACAACCAAAAAAACCATCTGAAACATCATGATGTCAAGATGAACAAGTGATGTCAAGAACACCATGAAATAGCTTTTTTTTTCTCTATACCAAGACTTCATTTAGTATACAGTACCTGTGAGTGCAGACTCTGACCATTCTGCTCAGCTTGGATAATGAGCCTTAAAGACTTAGGAACATTTTCTTGGTAACAGCATTGGGTGCTTAAGGGACTCAAAGGGTCATCTGAATGCTGTGAATAGAAAAGTCACCATCTGAAGAGCATATAATTGTATATATGATTGGAAGAAGAAAGCATTTGTCACATTTTATAGGCAGAAAACGAAAACACACAGTTACAATAGGATCACAAGATCAATGGTTGAACCTGCATATTTAAACCAACATAATTGTTCATATTATTTTGCTGGACTTTGCATTTCTCCAGTCTAACAGTACCCAGTAACAGAATACATTGCAGACAAATTCAGCAGTTCAGATATCATGTTTAACTTGTAATGAGCATCAGAACCAGCTTCTGTGACCGCAATTTGAAGGAATAGAAAGACAATTCAGCACAAGTTCAAGCTTCCAAATGCTTTTCTTGCAAACATAAGATTAGGACTGAAGGAAATAAGCTGGTTTACAAGTCTGCAGAATTTCCTGAGGAGCAGCAAGAATTGTAATAGAGGATTTACCAAATATATACACTAAGACCAACTTCGTGTTTCTAAGCTATGTCAGGGATTCTCACATACCTTCACCTTGTAGCTTTGTGTTTCCTTCTTCACTGATTTATTTTCTTGCTGTTTAAAAATTTCCAGCAGCAGTGAAAACTGGATCTTGCTGTCCATCCAGAATCCAGCACAAGCAATCTTGCTTACAAGTTCTTCCATCTTTTTTCTTAGTCTCTTCCTTTTTCCTCAGCACCTGGGTCTCCACTGAAACCAAGAAGAAAAAGCTTTCTCACCAGATATATTCAGACATTTCACAGCCAAATCCCCAGAATTTTGATGTCTTTACACTAGTACCACTACAGATACTTCAGTTATCCATTACACTGGGCACACTCCAATTCCCAGCTTGCTCCTAGCCCCCAGCTCTCCAGTAAACCATTTTGTCCCTTCTCCATACTAAGAAGAGAAATGGCCTTCTAGGAATAAAATTACAATATACCTCTTCAAATCAATGACATTGTACATATAAAGTCAACAGACTCCATCATCCTACTTTGCTATTGCACAGCTCTGTCCTCTGCTGTAAAAGCCCTCAAGTATTGATACTTCTTAGCATCAATTACCATCTCAACAAAACTGAGGCTGACTGATGGTCTGAAACATCTGGCAATGCTTTGAAGATCTCTTTAAATATTTTTAACAGTGCTTGCTGTGGGTAAAAGAAAGCCCCATGAAATGTGGATAAACAGCATAGCCTCATATACATAAAACACAACTTAAAAGGTTCTTCCTAAGCTGTGCATTGAACCTTGCAGTGCCTCTGGCTCATCATTTCATCTGCTCTGCCCTGCCACTTTCTTCTGCAAGAAGTCCCTTCCTGTGGGGCCTCAATAATGCCACACACTATGGTGTTCCACATTGCTTTGTGGAGAAATTAGAAGCCACTCCCATTGCCCTCTCTGACACATAGCAAAGGCAGCCAAAGTTCCTGAAAGTGGAGGCAAAAAGGTTGGTGTCTTTAGGGAGTTGATAGTATCAAGATTGCCTGTGTGAATGCCTGCATGCTTGAGTTGTGTAACAGGCAACTCCTAGAAGTGGTTCCCTTCTCTGAGGAAAGGAGAACCACCCAGAGATGTTTGGATTGAGGGTGGATCTATCAGTTCTTCAGATGTTCATGGGCCAGTCCTCAAGCTGCATCCCTCAGTTTGAAAAGGTCACACGTGACATACAGGGGAATGTGTTATTTACTATTAGTTTGGGTACTTTGGATAACGGGGGTTTTTATTCCTTTGGGAAGACATTTTCACAGTGCAGAGTTATCTTCCCATCCCTTACAATAGTTGAGAAGGAATTGCAAGTAGGGATTACTGGCTGGCCTGTAAACCAGAACCAGCCAAATGTGGCAGCTCATATTCACTAGCTTGCTTTGCATGCAGTTCCCAGATGTCAGGAAACCCAAGAAAGAAAGTCACCTGCCCAAATAAATTTCTCAAAATTACTGTAATACAAAGTCATCAACTTTCAACTCATTCAGTCATATGGACAGGCATCTACAGAGCTGATATGTAACTCTCATTATTTTCCTGCTACAAATAACAGGAACTTAAAAGTCCCACCACACGAGATAATTTTCTTACATAAAGGAACATTAACTCCTTTCTGTCCTCCCTGTAGAACAGAAGTTACACTGCTCATCAGCAAAACTGAAAACAGGAAATGTCAGTAAAACACAACAATCTTTCAAAATGCAACATAAAAAAATGCAATTAAAAATAAAGGTGCCAAAACTTTAAAGACTAATTCCTCCTAAGTAAGAAACAGCTTTTTTAGTCCATGTAATGCCACCAGCTGACTAATCCTGATGATTCACATAGGCAGGTGGAGTTAAAATATCTTTTCAGGGAAACACTCTTGCATTTTTACATAAAGAACACTTGTACACTTTTGACTAAATTAGTACTTAAGGAACATGTGTTGAGCAGCCTGATACCAATGCTTCAGAAGATTCAGATGAATGAACCCAGGCTTTCAAAAGACCCTGTATTGGAACACAGTACTTCAGAAGTAAGGTTAGGAGACTGAATCACAACCAGTTTTCATAATAGATCAACCAAAAGCAGCTGAAACTTGACTGGACCAAGAACTCCTGGAAGTTCACTACCCTAAAACACATTGCCCTATTCACAACACAGTATCTAACCTTATGCATGTATCTCCAACTCTACAGATATAAACTGCATGAAGATAGTCAGAAAAAATGCTTAGAGGTACATTGTTGGCTTCTCTTTAATGGAAAAACAAAGTGGTTTAATTTGTGTCATACTAGATATTTTAGGCACACCCTACCTTGCTATGAGCTGCAATTCTTATTATTTGTTTATGCATGTGTTCTCAGCCTCCTCACTCCTGACCCACACACCAAAAACAGAGTAGAACAGGATCACAGATTCCCAGTGCAAGTGTGCATCCCAAGTAAGGTGCATTGTTATATTTAATTCTTTTCTAGTTGCCAGTGCATTTCTCTGTGCTAAATTTCAACCCAGTCTCAGGACTGAGAGACCCAAGTACCTGTTCATATAAAAACACTTCTTGTTACAGTTCTGTATACACACAATTCTTCTGTTTTGCCAGCTGCTAGAAGACTAAAACTCACTAGTAGATCTGGTCAAACAATTAAAAAGAAATCACATTGACTCAAGTCCTATCTACTCTAACTTCTAGTCTAGTCTGACTAATCCAGTAATTTAGTGCACTAACGAGGACTACAAGCAGTAAAGGCCCTTGATCTTGTTTTCCAAGGTAACCTAGAACCTAGAGAACTTGGGGTAAAGCACAGACCTTTTGGGCTTCCAGTACTCCTCCTCACAAGGCAGAAGTTCTAGGCTGGGAATCTCAAAGCTTCCCAATTCTAATCAGCTGTTCTGCCTTGCTCAATCCTTCATTGTGTAATAAGCAACACATGATTTCATGTAACAATTCCCATGTCCAAGGGGTTACATAAAAATTTCCAATTTACAGATAACTGTGAACGCTAGGTTTATTCTGAATTGGGGTAGACTTGACCTAAGATTTCCTGTGAACCAGAAACATTTCAAATTAATAATGCTCAAGAAAAAACACTGCTTGTAATTTGGTTTGTTAGAGCATCAGTAAGTGTTTGGGGCACTGCAAAAGGCTTCTTAAGGGTAGCACTTAAACACCCAAAAAGTACAGAAAAGAGGTTGACCTCAGCAATTTAGGTTTTGTTGAATCAAAGTGTTTCACAATGCCAGAGATGGAGAGAAAAACTGTGATAAATAATACAGCCATTATTTAAAAGATGGTGTCCTGGACTTACAGATCATCCATTCTGATAAGGGAATAAAGAATACAATCTGAGGTCAAACCAGACTGAAAAAGAAATCACCTCATTAGAGAGTAACATGCCTGCTGCTCCTTGAACCACCAAAGTTTTCCTGGCATTTTCTAGACAATAATCAGCATGTCTTGCTTGTTGTGATTTTGTCTGTGTTTATAGACAGACAACTGGTGTCAGATTATGCTTAGTCCCTCTGTGAGGACAGAGTTCCTTACAGCTACATTAAAGCAAGTATATCTAGTTTCAGCTAGATTAAATCTCAATAGCTTGTTTAGCTAGACCCCTCAGTGTTAAATGCAGTGTCCTAACTAATCTTGTAGGAGTTGTTTAAAATCAGGTATTGGAGGCTAACTCTCACTTATACAGCTATAAGTACAACTATGCAGCTATAGAACAACTATATAGCCCATCAGCTGCTCCATCCCACAGCTTGTTGCTATGGTTTCATTAACTTGAAGCTGAAGCCAATACCCCAGTTCTTTAGAGCTACCCACTGAGGCTTCTTTAAATGGATGAAGGATGAAGAAAGCCTCTCTTCTACCAGACCTCACAAGGCCTGGAGCAGTGAGTAAATTAAAGCTCAAATGTCTCCCAAAACCAGCTCTAGCCAAGCCATACAAACCAAGCAGTTAGCAATGCAGTGATCTTGCTCAAGATGCAGCCAAACTGAATCCTAGGAAATACTGGGAAAGAGATTTTTGTGGCAGTGCTCTTTCCCAGGATGCATTCTTGGTAGCACAGTTGATGCATATTTAATACAATGTCAAACTTCTAGGGAGAATCAGATGCTCTTAATCAAGCTGAGATTTTCAATGGCCTCCCCTAGATCCTAATCTCCCAAGAGCTGTGTCTGCTTTCACCATGGTCATGCCACCTCATTAGAGTAATATCAGGATAATAATTTACCAGGATTGTGACATGTCCAAGTCAGTGCTTTTGGAACTCCCAGAGAAGATATTGAAAACATGGTGAACAAACACCTTTCAAAGGACATCTCCTGTTCATTAGGAGTGCTCCATGGCCACTAATGTTAACTTAGTTTAATATATATCACATCACAGCATGCTTCTGAGAAAGCACATGCTGAGGATTTTTAAGTGCAAATGACTCTTCTTCTTCAGCAATCTTTCTTCACCACTATTTTCCACTGGGATCTTGGATTTCAGATGGCAACAGTTATGAAATGAGATTACCTGTTCCTTGGATTCATTCAGCCATGCTGGAGTTTATGCAAAGGAGATCAATCGCATTGTGTTATTTCCATGGGCACAGTAAAGGCAGAGCCCCTTCTGAACTTTGCTGAGGGAAGAAACCCAGTGTCACAGCCAGTCCAAGTAAATAAAGTCACATATACAAACACATATTTCTTTGAATTTAGGGTTGTATGGAAAAGGTTGGTATCTTTGCCACTTGCTCTTCTCTCTGCCTCAAGCTCTAGAAAATTTTAATTTCACAAGACATCCTGGTATCAATTACCCTGGACAGAAGGCCTACCCAGGCAGGCATATCACAGTCAATGAGATAAGAATATGTCCCAGCCTGTACTGCAGCACAACCAGCATTTGTTTAGCTTTTCTCCTGAGCACTGACACTTGGTATTTCTCACCCTGAACAAAGTTATCCAGACTGATTGACTGTCTCCAGAAGAGCAGCAAATAGCTGCTTATATGCTGGTGATTTCTGTGATTACAGTCTGACTTAAGAGCCCATCATCTCAGTTCTAGTTATGGACCAGGCATCTCTGTGGCCCAGGAAAGCTGTTTAGTTTCTTTGTCCTCACCTTCTCTCACTGTCAGGATCTGGAGAATGACCAAGTGTTTAAGCCACAGTTTCACAGAAACTGTTACAGAACAGCATCATAGGCTGTACTTTTAACACAGCC